CGCGGCAGTCGACGTTGTCCAGGCACTCGCCGCGATTGCAGTGGGTGAGCGGATTACCGCTGAATCCGGGCGGGCAGGAGCAGACGGGCCGTCCCCCGGAGGCCTCCTGGCACACGGCGTTCACGCCGCACGGGTTCCCGCTGCAGCCGCTGCTGTAGGACTGCGCTGTGGGGGCGAGAGGAGGGGCACAGGCGGTGAGGTGATGCACTGGTGCAGGTGGACTCGTGTCTCAATCTACGCTCTATGCTGTGCTGCTGGATGTGTGTGTTAGGGGTTAGCTACTACAGATACTCGCGCGTTGGAGGGTAAGGGTAAGGGTAAGGGTCAGGGGTCAGGGGTCTGGGTGCTTGCGGCGGTGCGCTCTATGTACATTGTGCTGGTGCGGAAATACTACGGCTACTGATGCTGATGCTGATAGGGAACCTGTGTAAATACCACGTGTGTAGCCCGGATCGCTGTAGACAACCCGCTGCAGGGATCGCCCATCGCCGTAGGTGTAGTAAGTGCGGTACGTGCAGTTCACGCAGCGCTTCCCGACCTTTTTACCTGCGGCCAGTTGGGGCACGGACGCGATGGCCACCGCCACCAGGGCCACGACCAGGAGCTGCTGCTGCAAGAGAAGGATCGGCGGCGGTTAGTGCAATTTAAGGTGCGTATCTACTTATCTACTTATCTATCTATCTATAGCTATTCAAAGTAAACATACAATCTTATGCGAGAACAAGGTAGTGAATGTAATATTATGCGAGGCCAATATCCATGGCAAATTCGATGATCGGATTGGCTTGGACTGGCCAGCGGGATTCTGGTGACTGAGAGCAAGCCGACACCATGTTTGGGTTAGCCGGGCATGGAGATCAGATGAGATGAGATGGGACGGGATGACGATCGACGATGATACATACGGCTTGGCGCTCAAGGTGGCGATCGCTGTTTGCGAATGACACATGGGAGATAAACTTGTTGTCCGCTTCTTTGGAAGCTCAATTCGGGCTAAAGGCAATTATTTAAATCGGAATACAATAGGAATATGCAAATGGGGCGGCTGCCTTTTCGAATTACTCCGCATGACCAATATGGTAGTCCATATTCGCATCAACTAGGTTGTCGATCATCACGTAAATGGTTCGGATGGAACCACCGAGGGAGGAAATTGGATTTCTTTAGTCGCCCATTGCAGGGTGATTTATATTCAGATTACATTGCTCAAGGGAAGTGAGTCAGAGCCATATTGGGATCGTTTATATATGGCATTATACAAAATGTAATTATTATTTGAATTTTTAAGCAAAAACCAAGCAAAAAAAAAGGGTACGAACTAAATAACGCAAGCTTTCTGTTCTATTTTTAACAAGTTAAAACTGCACAGCCAAAAACTGTATAAACTGCAAAAATTTAAGATAGAATTTCCCGAATTCGAGTAACGAGCCAGGAAGTGTTAAGTGCTTTTCATAGGTGGCTAAAAAGGTATACAAGTCAAATCCATACAACTTTTTGCTCTACAAGTGATGGCAATTAAAAAAACAAGCTATCGTGGAGTGGTAGAAACTAATTGGTTTGTTTTTTGACTTCGTTGCTCAAACAAATGAATAATGGGCTTGATGTTTGCTTGGGCTGCTTGAAAAGTGTTGAGTGATTGATCGTCCCAAAAAAAGTAGAAGGCAGAAGGCAGATCGAAACCAGTCAAAAGAACAAACCGATCGTGGGCTTCAAAAAAATGATGTGGGAATATGGTATAAGCTGCTCTTGGTTTATTTGAATTTTTTATTTTATTTTAGCAGCTTAACCAGCCGGAAGTAAACATTATACAGCGAAACATTTCACCGATCAGGGGCGCATCCTTAAGTTGTCCAGTAAATATTTCTGTCGTGTTTGCTTTGGTTTTGCGAGCTGTTAAGTACATCAATATTCCATTCACGTATCATACACTGAATGCATATTTTATGTACTGTCTTTGTGCGTAATATTCTTGAACACTAAAGTTTCTTCAATCAAAAAAACAAACAAGTTGAAATCTACACACTCTTGCGTGATTCGGATTCTCCTCTCAAACAAGGCCGTTCTTATTACTTTTATAAAATTGTTTATAAAATGTTTATAAATTATTAATCTGCGGGAAGTGATCAAGCACTTGTTTAATATATTGCTTCAGCTTGGATGATTTCAAAACAAATATATATATGTTCTTTAACACACGGTTTTACATATATAGACTGCGGTTTTTCCCACTGCAACTCACCATTTTCGGGGTTCAGTATTAGAAAACACTAGCACTACAGCAAAAAAACAACGTAAAGTAAAAAAAAAAAGTGTGAACTGATAAATCCGATTTCCACTTGGCACGCTTCGCTTTCAACTGAGTCGGCTTCTAGATGAGCTTGGGCTATTTATAAGGCCGCAGCTCTTAACTCGGCAGAGAAACAGCTGAGCGACGTTGGCGTCATCTCTCAGCTGCTCAGCTTCCCTTCCTCTCCGCCTCTCATCGGCAACCCTTCCACATGCACGGAGAGAAAACTATAGTATATTCAAAATATACTAAATAAATAACTAAAAAATATACTAAATATACTAAATAAATAAACTAAATAAATAAGCTAAATAAATAAATAAATGACCAAATATCCCTATATTTCTCCTGAGGAAAAATGAAATATACTAAATAAATAAATACCTAAATAACTAAATACCTCGCAATATTTCTGAGGAAAAATAAAATATACTAAATAAATAAATAACTACATATCTCGCTGTATTGCTCCTGAGGTAATAGCATCCAATAATTTACCCAATCATCAGCTTGTAAAAAGAAAATATATGCAAGTAGAGTGCTTTAACTTGGGAACTAGAAACATGTCGAGTAACGAAAGCGGTAGATCGGTGGTAAATCAAATCGGTTGCGTCGTTACTTAGCTATTTATATTTGTTCAGCCTGTCAGTGGGAAAACTATTTTTCCCAATGCACCAGAATTCTGCCATAACGCTGTTGACAAGCTTGTTTTGCTGTTGACTTTGCGCTTTCTGAAAGCATTGTTCTGCTCGATTTTAGCTAAAACCATTTCAGTCCAAATCACCTCTCAGATTGAGTCATTCGCACATATTTGTTTGCCTGGGCATCGGGCTATTTATATACGCGTACTTGACGGCTTTGCCTCGGTTTGTTTTGGCCATGCCGGCTTTGATGGCTCGACTTCTGCGTGGGCCGCTGCATCCGAGTGCTGTGGGACGAACTTGGCGGGGTTTCCTACTGAGCACGGCTCCGGATCGGAGGCAACTTGGCCGAGAACGCAGAAGTGGCCCACCTGGCAATGGGCAGGTGTAGTAGCCTTCTCTGTAGGTTACTTATAATTACATGTGTGACATGGGTTTTTCTAGAAGCATCCAAAATCAGAGGCTTGAATTGAAGCGCTTGTGGGCTAAAACACATGTATTTATAGCGAATACATTACAAAGTCATTATCCTGCTCAAATAAAAGTGCTATAAATACACACCGGATGACCATTTCTACCAGCTGAGGCAAATATTGCAAATGGTAATTTCGCTAGGGCTTTTCATTCCTCTTCAATGTGGATTGATATTTATGTATATATGCACATATATGTGGATAATCGTATTACAGAGTTAATTAACTTTTCGAATTTGCATATTTTTCAATCTAAAAGCCGTCGGAAATCGGGCAAAAAAATAGCCCATTTCCGTTTGACAAGTAAACAAGAAGAACAAATAAATTAAGCGCTAGCTGTTCAGTCGCTTTAATTCCAGAAAATAAAATAAGAATATTATTGAATGGCTTGAGGAATTCCCATTAACTCATACCGCACAATATTCATAAACTGGGTGTTTCAGTGAACATCTTCACTCGCCTCACCGTTTCTAAGTCCATTTTAATGGCTTTTGAATTTAAAATAAAGCTAAGCAAAGCCCGCCTCACCTTCATTCGATATCAAAAGCAACGGATTAAGCCCAGGCGAATCCGCACTGGAATCGAACCAATTAAAACGAGAATCTTGACTTCTGGCTGCAATCCAGTGGATGCACTGGAAGGGATAAGTAATAGAAATGGTCAATGGCAATTGACTTCCATAGTACAATGAAATGGCATCGCCTAAGCCTGCAAATGGAATCGATGAGGGAATATTGCAGATTAAACTGCAAATTGGCCAGAGCTGAATGAGACTTCACCTGACGACCGACAGTGGCACCTGTTCCTTTGGCCATGCTAATTACGCCGTCTTGGTCCACAAATCTCTGGGCCAACCTAGCTGCTTAGCCATGTTTTTCTTCGTTTGTTTCAGCAGCCAAGGTCGCGACAGGTTGCTCTGATGGATCAGGTTGGCCGGGATCTGGATCCACTCCCCTGCCTTCTCATAATTTATACCGCCCAATATCAATCATATTCCATCATGGTGCCTTGCCTGGTGTGTTTTCGTGAGGTCTATTCCACTCCGGACGGGTCATTCCCGGCAGATTGCCATTGACAAATGTTTTATAATCAATTTGGCATTATTAATTTGAATACACACCACCTGCGAGCAATCACCCCCTCCACCCGCCCTCCGCAAAATCTCATCTGGATGGGATGGCTTTTAAGGTGGAGCCGGAGCCTCGCCAAACTAAAATGCGGTTAGTTGGGGGGCAGGGAACTGCCTGATTAATTGATTATCTCAAAAAGTAACGCCTATTTAGTAGAGCCTTTCAGCAATACATCAATGCATACTATTTAATAATAGTATTTATAGCATTTTTTGCGACTCCAGGTGGGAATAAAATGTTATACAAACTTCTTTCATATGGGTTTTTGCGCATTTAACTCTTACTTACCAGAAAAAAGGGTGTCAATTATTTTTGTTGTATTACTTTTTTGATTATAGGTATCCTAAATGATTAGTAAAGCAAACGGGATGTTTGACAAAATATTAAATATATGAATAGCTTGTATTCATTATTGCAATATTTATATTGCTCATTGCTTATGCTTAAAACACCGAGAGATTATTAAAAATTAGTATTTCAACTTGAAGTTAGGTCTTTGTACCAAAGCCAAACTTAGTTTTATTTGGTTTCCTATTTTCTTAACCCATTGTAACATCGCCAGAATCCATCACATGTTCCGAATCATCCCCTGGCTTAAAAGTCCATGCTGTGCCTCTTGTCGCCACTTCGAATTCGGATTCCCATTCCCTAAGATGAACTATCTTGTACAGACCCAAGGGCTTGCTTCTTGGAGTCTCCTCTGTGGGATTCCCATTGATCGGATGGACTTCGTCAGTTGTGGATGGTCCATCTCCAATCCTTTTTCTCTTCGCCGCAAAAGGTGAAACCCAAGCATTTTCAATGTTGGTCACGGGATTCATTTTTTCATTGACGCACTTGTACTTATTCGGAAAAAATGATTTCAGCACTACCTTGAGATGTGAAATGATTTAAAAGGTTCAGCTTGTCACATATTTGCCATTGAATTTTATTCCAGAGCACACTATGCGGGGAAAAAATGGATTGTTGCAAATGGTTTTCAATTAAATACGAAATAATATTTTTGGCGGGCATTTCTTACTTTGTTTTTTCAATGAACTGATGGTAACAAATCCACTACCAAGTATTTTTGAATCATCCCTTCCTTGCTGATGGACGAACTGAAAGCCTGGGAGACTCATCGCTGTGGACTAAGCAGAAGCTTAAAAAAGTGGAGGAACAATTTTAAAACAATTTCCCAGGAAGCTAAGTGGCTCTAATAATAATAAGGAGACGATTGATTTGCGAAAATGATTGCCATTGTAATTGCTGGAAGGTTCCAAATCGAACTTTTTCGGTCTAATTTGCAGCAATTTGCATAATTTGACTGAGCGGATGCACAGATGGCTGATTGGTGATTGGTGATTGGTGATTGGATTAATATAAAAGGGACGGACTGCGGAGAGGTGCCTCAAAGAACCGGACATTCACGGACATGGAGAAGGTGGATTCAATGAAGGCCCTGGCGAGCCACTGGCGCATCTTCAGGATTATCGGAGTGTATCCGCCGGCGAGGACAACCGTCTGGGGTCGCCACTACACTGCGTACTCCGTGGTGTGGAACGTGGTCTTTAACGCCTGCCTCTGGGTGTCCTTTTCGGTCAACCTCCTGCAGTCCAACTCGCTGCAGACCTTCTGCGAGAGCTTCTGCCTGACCTTGCCGCACACGATCTACCTGCTGAAGCTGACCAATGTCCGTCGGATGCGCGACGGGCTGATCCGCAGCCACCAGGTTCTCCGTCACTTGGACAGCCGGTTGGGCAGCTCCGACGAACGACAGATCCTTAAGGCGGGCATCGATCATGCCATGCTCATATTCCGCACCATATTGACCGGCGTTGTGTCCACCCTCAGTGTTGGGATCATTTACATGGCCGTGTCCAGCGAGCCCACGGTGATGTACCCCTCCTGGATTCCCTGGAACTGGAGGGACAGCTGGTCCACCTACCTCTCCACCGTCCTGCTGCACACCAGCGCCATCTTTGCGAACGCGGCAACGGTCCTCAACCTGACCACCTACCCGGGCACCTACCTCATCCTGGTCAGTGCCCACGCCAAGGCGCTCGCCCTGCGGGTGTCCAAGCTGGGATATGACACGTCAGTGCCGGCGGATCGGGTGCAGGCCATTCTGATTGGGTACATCCACGACCACCAGAGCATTTTGGTGTGAGTGTGGGAAAATCTCAGCTTTACACTTAAACTCTTTTAAGGCGACTTGGGGCCTCGACCTTAAATACCCTTTTCAGCTATTGCTGATGAACAATTCTCCCAATTTTATAGACCAGACCATAAAAGGAAGGTAATTAAGGTGCCTCAGAAATCAAATAAGCCGTTCTTCATGGATATGTTTCGAAAACTCTCCAGCAGATGGCGTATGCCATAACATTATTTTGTTGCTTTACAAACTTTGAAGAAAGACTTTCAAGAAAGACCTTTTCAATGTAGATTAACGTATTTATTTTCCGCCAACTGCAGCCTCTTTAAGTCACTGGAAAGATGCCTTTCGATGACCTGCTTCCTGCAGTTCTTCTCCACGGCTTGTGCCCAGTGCACCATCTGCTACTTTCTGCTCTTCGTAAAAGTCGGGATCATGCGGATCATGAACATGATGTTCCTGATGGCGGCCATCACCACGGAGACCCTTCTGCTCTGCTATTCGGCGGAGCTCCTCTGCAAGGAGGGGGATAACCTCCTAGCCGCTGTCTACAGCTGCAACTGGATGTCCCAACCGGTCAAATTCCGGAGGCTCCTGCTCCTGATGCTCGCACACTGTCAGAAGCCACTGATCCTGGTCTCCGGCGTAGTAGTGCCCCTCAGCATGGAGACCTTCATGGTGGTAAGTGCTGTACAAATTGTCTACTTACTCTGCTTATCACAGATGTATTGCAGGTGATTAAGGGCGCGTACACCATGCTCACTCTGCTGACTGAAATCCGTAAATCGTCGCTTGAGTAGAACTCTTCATCCGCCCATCCGTCTGTCTGTCCGTATCGGTCTGTCCGTATCGGCCTGTCCGTATCCGTCTGTCCGTATCTGCCTGTCCATATCGGTCTGTCCGTATCGGACCGTCCGTATCGGTCTATCCGTATCAACGTTGAGCTCTCGGGAACTTTCGGAGCTAGACAGTTGGGTTTCAACATGCAGATTCCAATTGCTTTAATTGTTCTAAATTTTAGCTCAAAAAAAATACAGAAATACACATTTTACATAAATGAATAAATTATTCTTTGCTGTTACTCCGAGAATGTATTTTCGAACGTATCCCACCCAAGCTGTTTATCTTTCGCTGCTGCGTGAATATTACATTTCAGCGGAGGGATTTTCACCTGCCTGTGGCTCGTAATTATTGCTGCATAATGCAGGCGCTTATTATTAAACGAATTGAACGGAAATTGAAGTATCACAAACTCCTCTGACAGCCGCACCACACGAACGCAGCTGACCAGATGCAGATTCCATAATAGACATTTTAATTGAAGCCTCCCGCGACCAAAGTGGGCGTGGCACTCTTGCCGCTCAACTTATCATATTTGCAAAATAGCCTTTTTGCCAGCTTAACTGGGTTTTAACATATCGAGCACACAATCGGAATTCAATTCTACCCTTGCACTGAGAGCCCAGTATTGTGGGAAGATAAAATACAAATTCGGAAAGCTCATTTGGTTTTTATCAATATTTTTTGAACCCATTTTGGCCCACTGTGCATGGTTAAAGTCCACATAAGTCAATTAATGGATATGCGATTAATGATTTAACCAATGCGCGGTTCCAGCGACAATTTCAATCTGATTCATTTTCGCAGTCATTGCACTGAATGTGTGCTTAAATATTGAATTACCAGCATAATTATGTAACTCATCAGTGGCAATTTAAACGGTGCGACATAGCGATTATAGGATCCCGTGAAGATATAACAAGTAAAAATGCTTATTTTACTTACAGGATCGCTTACGAAATGAAATCCTTTGCCTCCAGTTAATAAACGAGTATATTTGTGAGCATAATTGTTAATGTTACAATAAACATAGCGAGTTCTTAGGCTAAAACAGCGGAGACGTACGTATATGTAGGCTTAGGCAAATATTTATTTGGCGAGTCTATTGGAAAATTTCTCAAATATTTACACAAAACCGAACGGGCGCCGTCGAGTACTGGCGAACTAATTAAAAGTTGTAAAAGCAAAAGCGACGGCACCGCATTTGCATAACAACAGGGAGCTGGGGCTCCAAATGGGGGGTTCGAAATCGAGTAAAATACGTAATTAGCGTGCCGCAAACAGGAGCAAAAGCAACAGCGTATAACAAGTGGGAAATCCGTTGGAGGTCCTGAAATCGAGCTTAAAGCTAAGCTGCATCCCTGGACGATGGGCGATAGTTGCTGGGTGGTGATGTTGCTCCTGGTGCTCCTGGTCATTGTTGCTTTGATCGCCTTAGGGATATTTCACAATATTGTTGCTGTCACCTGGCAGCTGTCCCCCACTTGTTGCGGTCGACTGTTGCTGCTGCTTTGTTCCTGCTGCGGAGGGTGCTGCTGCTGCTGCTGTTGCGCCCAGCGCTGTTGCTGCACCTGGCTGGTACAAATGCGTGCCATAATGCACGGCGCCCGGATGGCTGAAGTACGGTATAATGGCCGGCGAGGCCGCAGTCATGAGTGGCGATGGCGTGGGTCCGGCCAAAAGGGAGCTGGAGCCGGAGGCGGACTTGGAACCTTGCACCTCGTCGCCGGCCGCGTAGGGTGACACATACTGCTGCGGCGCATGGCCATAGAGCGGCTGCAGCAGAGGCGCCGGCTGGTAGTGGTGGTAGTGATGGATCGGCGGTCCATTGGCCGCCGACAATCTGACCAAGTGAATGGGACCCGCGCCCGCTCCCGGTCCCGCTGATTCGTGGGCCAGGCTGTAAACGGCCTTGGGGTTATTATTGCTAAAACGTGGCAATATGGCAAATTGATGTTGCTGCTGCTGCTGCTGCTGCTCGGCGGGTGCCTGCACGTAAATGGGATTGTAGTGCACCAGGGGCAAGTGTTGCTGTCGTGTTGCTGCTGCTGCTGCAGTCTGTGGAGCTGCTGCTGCTGCTGCCGTTGCTGCGGTGCTCGTTGTTGATGTTGTCAATGCTGTCGGAGATGTCGGCGCCGCAGGCGTGTATTTATGTGCCTGCTGCGAGTGATGCTCCTGTTTTAGGTGCTGTTGCTGGTGCGGCTTCTGCTGCTGCTGGTGGTGGTGCTGCTGCAGCGGATATGCTGAAAGGCGCAATGAAACAAGGGGATTACTCGCATCAGATTTCACGGCATCACAGCACTTTGCCAGTCGGCTACATTACGGACTCTAATTGCCCAGACCAAAGAAACTTGAATGGTTTTGCACTATGCAGCCATTTTTTTTGGCGACTGCCGCTCTCTTGCTCTCTTGCCGCTCGCATAAAATTGAGAGCATAAAAATCTAAAACACTTGCGTGAGTGAAAACAGTAAACAGAAAAGTTGTGCTAGGAGACGATTTGCGGTGCGAAATCAATTTATCTAAGAAACGAATTCGATTAATCTTTTGGTCAATTTCGTTGCAATATGAGCTAAATAGTATTTAAAAATTGATGTTTTAATCGCCGCTCGAATTAGCTACCGTTTACACATAAATATTTTTATTATTAATTATCGGTAATATATGTATTTTAGGTATCCAGGGAACACCACGGGGAGGACATTACAATTGTAATGGGGTCTTATATTTATATGACCTTCGAGTCGACTTGAAATAATAAATGTTGAATATAAAATATTAATATAAATTGTTTTATACACCGTTGTTTTTTAATATTTTTAAAAATATTTTCAAAAACTGTAATGTGTATTTTGCAGATATTAAAAAAAATCAGATGGTGCCTTTAGTTTTCCAATGTCCGATTCTATAGAGTAGTTTTTCTCATGTATAAAAATCTCAGATGGATAGATAGTTAAGATGGATCAGATGGATCAGATAGTTAAATGCTAAAATTGTATGTATGTATGTATGTATGTATGTATGTATGTATGTATGTAGGTATGTATGTATGTATGTATGTATGTATGTATGTATGTATGTATGTAGTGTATGTGTTACTTGCACAATGTAGTAGAAATTAAAGTCTTAATTAAAGCCTGAAGAATGTTTAACCTACTGTCGGAACAGATAGTTATTGCCGCCTTTGATATTTGTTTGGGTAAAATATTTTCTTGTAGCCCTATAATTCCCAACTAGTTCTAGCGAGGACTGTAAGGAATGTCTTCAAATTTTGAGTCGCAAAGTAGTTCTCTCTTACCGATCGAGCAGTGAGTGTAGTGTATGTACCGGTGGATGTATGTATGTAGGTATGTATGTAGGCATGTAGTTATGTAGTTATGTATGTATGTATGTAGGTATGTAGGTATGTATGTATGCATGCATGTAAGTATGTACATATGTATGTATGTATGTATGTATGTATGTACATACGTATGTATGTATGTATGTATGTATGTATGTATGTATGTATGTACGTACGTATGTATGTATGTATGTATGTACGTACGTATGTATGTATGTATGTATGTATGTATGTATGTATGTATGTATGTATGTATGTATGTATGTATGTATATGTATGCATGTATGTATGCATGCATGTATGCATGTATGTATGCATGTATGTATGCATGCATGTATGTATGTATGCATGCATGCATGCATGCATGCATGAATGTATGCACTGTATGTGTTACTTGCACAAAGTAGTAAAAATCGTATGGCGTTACGCATCTTATTTTTCTAGTGTCTTTGCCCAGACCATCGACTTGGCATCCCAATTGTTTCGGTGGGGCTTTGTGCCTCGCATCGAGGGCATAGTTGGCCCAAAATGCTACCTAATGCATTTCCCAAACTGCACTTTTATAGGCAGTAGCTGTCCCATTATATGGGACTATAATATTTGACATGTTTATTGATACTGAAGTACTTGGGGCGTTTTAGCCCAGCTTCCACCCGTTGCAAGCGATTATAAAATAGGGGAACGAGGTAGTCAAGTGCCTGGACTATCACATACCTCTTACTCAGCTGAAGCCAGCGCGAGGGAGGTAGCGATATACAGGCGACTTTTGATGGAGCAACGGGTAAGCGATAGTCGAGGCACGCGTTGTGGTTTCTTTTACTGGTCGTAGGTAAAGTACGAGTCTAGTAATCTAAAATGTTGGCTTACCATAAAGTGGAGCTGGCTGCTCGGCGTAGATGGTCGATTGCTGCGGCTGCGGCGGTTGCAGGAAGATCCGTTGCAGTTGCAGTTGGATCTGCGGCTGGTGGTGGTGTGCCTGGGCCTGCGGCTGGTAGATCAGGGCGGGCTGGTAGGTGGGTGGTGCAGGTGGGGCAGCCACCTTGGCGTAAACAGCCTGCTGCTGCTGCTGCTGCTGGTGGTGCTGCTGCTGCAGCTGCTGGGCGGCGGCCATCAGCAGGCTGGTGGGGACTTGCAGGTACGGCTGGTGGATCAGTGGTGCGCCGGGTCCCGCGAGCCTTGCACTGGCGGCATCCGACTGGTAGTAGGGCTTGTACTGGCCCTGATGGTCGCGGGCCAGCGGACCGAGCAGCTGCACCACCGGATGCCTGCCGTTGGCCGGTGGTGCTGAGGGTGGTGCCGTGCTGGTGGTGCTGGTGCTGGTGGTGGGCGGTGGACCCAAGACCAGCTGATGCTGCTGCTGTTGCTGCTGCAGCTGCTGCTGCTGCTGCAGCTGTCGCATGTACGATAGGGGTATGGCGATTATGTACTGGATGCGTTGCTGCAGCTTTTGCTGCGGCTGCAGCAGGTACTTCTGGGTGGTCAGTGGAGCGGTGGCTCCCGCCTCCGGCTCCAGTTCGCTGTAATTGAAAATCGGCTGCTGATGCGGCTGCTGATGCGGCTGCGGCGAGGGGGCAGCGGGCTTGAACGCGACATGTCGCTGATAGGATTCCACTTGCGGCGGCGCTGCAAAGCTGAAGCGGTGCTGCTGCGGTGGCGCCTTCTGCCCGTAGAATGCCTGGGGGTGGTGGGGCACGGAGAGTGAGTGGGTGGCACCCAGAGATAGCGGCGCCGTAATTAAATGCATTGGATGTGGTTGCTGCGTACCTGTGTCTGTGGTGCCGCCTCCGCCGCCGTGTAGCGCAGCGTGGTGGGTCCGAAGATGGGCGTGGGCGTCTCCGCCTCAAAGTGGCTGCCGGGTGGGTAAAACGGGCGGAACGGTGGGTTCCTGCTCGATAGGCTCAAGTACGGACCACCTGCCGGTGCAAATTTGCGGTCAGTCACTGTAAATACTGCAAATCAGCCTGTGGCGCTAACTGAAGTTGCTTGGCAATTAAAATGTTGCTGCCCTGTTTGGCTGATTAATTTGTGCACGTGCAGATACATGAAGTTTGAGTGGTAACTGAAATGTTACGGAAATCGCCATTCTAAGATATATACCATATTTCCGTTAGATCTCAGCTGCTCAAGATGTATCTGGGCACGCATTTATTTAGCGAAGATCTGCCAGCTGGAACACCTAGTCTAAATTGTAGTTGTGCGATAATCGATTTTAAAGAACTTCTATGGAGACATCTTTTCTATGCTGCCTGCATTGCTGTAGCCCCTTTTTCTTTTCTTTTTTCCTGTCAAATCGAATTATTTTCTAGCGATAAAACTCGGGAAAAACCCCCACTGCAGACTGTGGCCAGTGGAAATAACCATTAAATAATGATGCACGAGTATAGGGAACCTGGCCACCGCCCACCTGTCTGATCCGATGAGTCGCGCTTCCCCGTCTTGCTCTTGGAGTCGGAGTCCTCCGCGATGGTGGGGGTCAGCTTGGTGGTGGTGGCGGCCTCGACCTTGTCCGCGGCCTTGCTGGAAACGGCCTCGATGTCCGCGGCGCGGCAGGAAGTGGTCAGGAGGCAACAGATGGCGATGGCGATGGCGGCCAGTACCTGGAACACGGAATATTGGGGCGTGAAAGGGGGCGAATCGAAATGCAATCAACTTAAATCGAAATCAGCGCAATAAGTTGGCCATGCTCGTTGCGCGTGCTGGATGGCTCATAGTCCATTTAGTGCATTAAATGTCGGAAAAATGCGTTTGATTAAAAATATTTGCACTGCAATTCATAATAATAATTTAATTAAAATGATTTATATGCAATTATGAAATTTTATTCACCAAAGTGCAATTGTTTTCCGCTCTTATCGCACATTATTATTTTTGCTCTTCCACTGCACACGCGATTAATAACTAATACTCGTAATTAAGCCGAGTGTGTACAATGAACCTGGCATAAAGGTAATTAATAATTAGCTGCATGGCAGCAAATACCCTCCCATCCATTTGCGCCTATTATTCGAACGCATATTCGGTTTTTGTATTCACATACGACCATACGAGTACTCTTACGTACATACGTATGTGGTAAATCTGATCTGATCTTTTGAGATGAGCAATGACTTGGCCACGTTTGTTGTGGTTGGTTGGTCGGGTCGGGTTGTTTTGGGTGGGCGCGATTATTCGCTTGACTTTTTGAATTCAATACTCTTGTTTATGAATAATGTAGGCATCAAAGGGAAAAACGGGACCAGGGAACAAACAATTAAATAAGCTCAACGGATGGCATACGGCGCTTAATTATGTACATTTTATCCATAGGTATTTACAATTATTCAATGGCATTAGCCTATTATCATGTATCATCCACTGCGCTGAAACATTTAATGAATAATAAAGTTGTGCTATCACGACTCGCTCTGCATCAGTAAGAATTATCTCCCTTCGATTATCTGAATGGCCAGAATGGCACGAAATCGAGTGGAAGTAATCAAAATAGGCGCTGATTTCTGTCATTATCAATATTTGATGGGCAACTTTCAGTGGGTTCGATTTCAATTACATGGGCTTAAACCTATTTTGCATTATTTACCCGTATGAGAGGAATTATTCCCATGGCTGCTGCTTTATTTATTCAAACCAACATTTACAATACACATACGCGTATACGATTTATATAATTTATTTTGTGTTCACTTATTTTGTTCGTTTTAATTTGGTTTCCCTCTGTCACTCAATTAAAATTCGATTCGCGGCAAACCAAAACAAAAAAGACAAAAAAAAACTGTAAAACAAACAAATTTATAAACACTTTTCACGGCTATTTGTTCAATGCAGACGTTCGCTCTTGCTGTGGTTAAGTAGACGCGCCGGAATCGCGCGCGATTTTACTGCGGCTGAAATCGCTAGCTCGCGCGTTGGCCAACAAAGTGAGAGTGAAATTGGTTCGCCAGCCGTGCGGCGTTTTATAGGCAGCGCCTTGCAACTTGCAGCTGCAAATTGGCCACCAGCCAACAGCAACATGCAGCAAGCAGCATGCAGCTAGCAACTAGCAACTAGCCACTAGCCACTTGCAACCAGCCACTTGCCACCGTTGGGGGCAAGCACCTTTTGGTGTCGCCGCGATCCGACTGAGCCATTTGTGGAGCACAATCACGGCCATTAACCGATGGTCATTGTCAGCTGCAGATTCGCCGCTCCCATTTGGCTTGCGTCATCGACTTTTTCTGCTGCATCCATCGAGAGATCGGAAGTAAGTCCTTGGGTAATGCCTTTTAGCTTTATTTTCTAACAAACTAATCAGCTGCCCAAGAATTGTCATAGCAAAGCCAATCTTTTTGATTTCCGGAAGAAGCCAGCCCAACAAAGTTCAAGGCACTTGTTTAACTCCTTGTTCTTGCCACAATTCACCCATCGCGAATCGATAAGGCTTAGCACGAGAACTTTTAGTGCAATTAAACTTGTACTAATTCCTCACATTACACGAAGTGCCACTTCTCGCTGCATTCTCGTTGTTTGCCCCAAGTGGGATTAGCTTGCACTCATTAGCAGTTTGTTTTTGCATTGCAGGTCCTGTGGCGACCACGTCCTTCGGGTGTTTGGATGCCTGACAAGCCTCGTCCTGGCCATTTCCGTTGTTGAGCGAAGCGTTTACAACGGACGATGGTTTTATGAGGGCTCCTAATAAAATCAAGTGGCTTTCCATAAAACTTAACTGTTACTTCGGCAATGGCACACAACACCACTAACTTTCCGCCCCGAACGACCCACTCTATCCCACTTTCCACCTTTGGCTGCCGAAAAATGCTCTGCCCATGCCACATCATATAAAAGTCCCCCAATTTGCAGTCGGACGTAAAATGTGTGCGGCAAGTTAAGAGCTCCCCATCTCCATCTCCATCTCCATCTCCATCTCCATTGGCATTGCCATTCGCACTCCAGGATTTTGGGATGACTGCAGGTAGGGAAGTTAAAAGTCCCCGGTTTTCTGAGCGCGGCAACATCCATTTAATTGTTTCTCGGACAGCAAAGTGTCATAATTAGTAGTGCCAACTAGGTGATGTGGTCTGCAGTGGGCGTGGCAAGTGGGCGGAAAAGCGGGCTCGCATGCATGGTTAGTTTTTGGTTTGTTTGTTTAGCAAGTTTGTTGGCTCGAAAGGTTGGCCAGGATTAAAAGCATCTGATGCGATGTGCTCCAGTGCGAAAATTGTGCTTAAATCAAACAGAGCAAACTTTTTCACTTCACAATTTCAGCAAATTGTTCTGCTCCCTGCTTTTCCGCTTTTTTCATGCACCACACTTACCGCAAATTGCCTTTGGTGTGGCATAAAATATTCAAAAAGGCTGGCTCAGCTCGGAAGACAATATAGCCCAATATCTTTGTGTCTGAATTTTGGTATTTGCTTATGTGTGGCCAGCGTTTTGTACACTGCGTGAATGGATTGCTTGTAAAAGTGGCTTTATTATAATTATTATAGTTAAGGACAGGGATATAAAACCCATTTGTCAAATGTGCTCCCAGCGCAATGCGAATAATTACAATTTAAAGCGTGAAATAATTATTAACTCGCTCGGAAATCTAACATAATCTAATTTCCACATAACAGAACCAATTTTCGGCCACGAATAATTGCATCGTTTCTATAATGAAATATTTTAATTTGCCACCCGCTCCTCTTGCAGCGCAATTTTGAACAGAACAGCGTCCAATGCGCCCCAAATTATAGACTGTTGCACAAACGATCTATGTGCGTTGCAACCCGATAATCCGGGGCGGTATCAAATCGCAAATGATTGTGTCGCCAGTTTGTCATTTCATTGGGTGGCCGCATAATTTGTAGCCAGACTCAGACAAAATCTAATTAGTAGCCCAATACTTTGGGGCAACTGCAAACTAAGCAAGATAGAATGCTAAAGTCGATATAACTATCAGATACCTTTTACTCAGCTAACGGGAAATTTCCAAATTTCTGCCATATGGGCAGAAATTGGGGAAAAAACAATAAAATTAAAAAAACCTAACATTTTTTACAAGTGTGGGCGTGAGCGTTTTGTGCGGCTTGTGGGCGAGGCAAAAAGTATTTTGGAAAATCCATAGAAATTTACAAGATATATAAAGAAGTGCCCGTTTCCTTCTGCTCGTTACATACTTTTCAACGAATCTGGTATACCCTTTTACTCTACGAGTATCGGGTATAAAAATATAAACTGGAAACTGAAAACCGAAAACTAGGAGGCGGTGCACTTGGGGCCAGGAAACAGCGATGCGATGCGTTGGCAATCGGACTTATGCAATCGAACGGCTCCAAATTGTCGAAACTAAATCAGTGCAACGCAAAACTGGTTATCAAAGACAAAAAGGAAGCGTGCAAGCCATCGGCCATCAATTATTTTCACGGAAATGCACCTCGGGCTGTCGCATTTTGGATGAAATGCAGCCTAAAATCGAGATCCGCAGCCAGGTGGGGTGCCCCATTCGCAATCCTCCATCGGCAGCCCCCATCTCCAATGTCCAATCCCCCAATGCGACACCCCACTCAACTGGTTTCGACGGACTTTGGCTCGACAAGTGCACTACTAGCCTTCTTTCGGCTTTTCCGGCGAAAAGAAAAACTTGGGTGCACTTGCAGAAACAGTAGGGCGAAAAAGGCATCCACAGTTTGATCGGCACTAATTAAATATGCTTCTCAGTGTATAAATTTAGTTGCAAACAAGTAGAAGAAATTTTAGGCAAGGGCATAAATACAGATAGTTTAAATGAAAAGAAAATCACTGAGTGGCAGATTGTAAGCAAAACAACTCCTTTTGGGCCAGTGTAGTAAAGCATTTGAAATGCAGTACACCCTTTCCAATTAAAGCTTAAATTGCCATTAACATTGGTCACATTGCCAGCCAGTCATTACACTTTATTAGGAGCAATTACTCCCAGTGTATTTTTGATGTTGCAGACTTTTGTTTGACACCATAACTGTTAATCAAAGTTAGCGATGAAGCTTATTAAATTAGTTAAAATCAAAGCAACTGCAATACATACCGCTTAAATCTGTGGATTTTATTTATATAAATAAATCAATGCGCCCCTTTAATTCGACACTTGCCTAAGTAAATGTCAAGCTGTATAAGTAAATTGTATATTTTCAATGTCTATTGCCAGTTTTCTTCGCAAGCAGAGATACTGCCTCGCAGCCAATAGCAAAAGTGGCTTATTTGTGCAGAGATGTATCTCTCAGCCGTGCAGATGCTGCAGCCCAGCCGGGTTCAATCTCAGATTCGCTTCATGGGGCCTCGATAGCCGTTGGCCAAACGCAGACGCAAAGTGGTTGTCAACGCAACCGAGCCAGCTCGAAACTAAGCCCCTCCACATGGCCATCCGAACCAGATTGCGTGGCACCAGCAACGCCAGCAGCTCCAGCAGCTCCAGCAGCTCCACCAACTCCGCGGCAGCCCAGCATTCCAGCATCAAAGTTTCCTACACCCAACTTCCCACCTCGGGCCAGCTAACTTGGCTAACTTGGCCTGCTCAGCTCCCCGAACAGTTAAAAGCTAAATTATTCATTACAATTTCCGCGCTGACGAGAAAAAAGCGCGCACACACTGCAGATACGGGCGAAAAAGGCGAAAAAGTCGAAAAAGTTTTCCATGGAAATGCTTCAAATGCTCATTTGAATCTGCCACGTAATTTAGCTTGCGGTGTGTGTGCCAACTTGCTTGGGAAAACGCGCGCGATTTCGGCGCTGTTTTAAACGCAGCGGTTCGGTTGACTTTAAATAAGTTGGCGCTGCATTGAAACGATGCCAATTTCTGTTGCCAAACTGTTTGAATTGTGGCTGTGACAGTGGCTCACATCGTTGGGGCTGAATTCAGTTTTGTGCCTTCTGTGCTTCCGCCTACAGTGGAGCTGCCCTAAGTCGAACTTCAGCCAACTCATCAGTGCAACTGGGTGGTTCTCAAACAAAAATGTGCAGGTATGACGCCAAATGATAGGAGATTAATCTTGCAGTTAAAATTATAGATAAGATATAGATATAGTTAAATTATAGATATCGGCAATACCTTTCGAGTTTCCCCTGTATGCTGCTATTTTGCCTACGCAGCTTATCATGCATTCAACGCGATATATTGTGTCCTTGGCCACTTGTTGTCATTCCCTGTTGGCCAAAATTGTTGGCCGCCCAGCCGCCCAGCCGCCCAGCCGCCCACTTGGCGCTCCTGACTTTTAAACCAGGCCAGAAACTTTCGTTAATTTTAATCAAAAACACTTTGTTGTTGCTGTCGCTGCTGCTTGTGGCGGATGGAAAAAAGCGTTTAATTGGGCAAGGGAATACGAACTACAAACATCGAAACAGCGGCACCAGCAGAGCCAACAATAAAACAGGCCAGCGAAAAAGTTTGCCAAGAATGAAAATGAGAACAAAGTGAATACAAGCTGACAACTAATTTAATCAAATACAGAAGGGGCGGTCGGAGTTGTGGGTTTCGAGGGGATGCCTGATATTTCGCGTGGCGAAAGTGGGAGAATAAATTACTAAAAAAGAAGTATTTGCAAGTACGGGTGATTATCATTCATCATCTTTTCACTGCAGAATGGCCAATGTTTCTCAGTTTCGCAGTTTTCTGCCATGGAATGTGGCACAACTACAATCCGTATCCGCTTATTTCCGCACCGTGATACCATCCTTTCGTTAGAAGAACTTTGTGCCTGGAAACGCAGTGAAGCGTGTTAAAAAGGCCGAAATAGCAGCTCACATCGGGCATATGAATAAACAAACATGGCCAGCAA